TGGCATGCTGATTATCCCACTGGGCATGGCAGCAACATCGATATCATTGGTCCAAAGGCTGCACAGACGTTCGAGCGGGTGTCACGCTCCCACGGGCTCGACATCAATAAGCTTAGCCTGACGAAGAGGTTGTACGCGTCTTGCGCGGGGCATGGAGCCGCCATCTGTGATAAGTCGTTGCGTTGCAAGGTTGCCTGCAAGGAGAGAGGCGATCCTGCGGGGGAACCCGCTCTGGCCAGGCTCGACACATCAACAGCCAACGTGGCTGAAGGCTCCGACGAGAACCTTCCTGCGATCCTGGGTCTGATGAGCATGTCCAACACGCGCGCGATCCTGATCCTGGAGCAGGGGCACGGGTAGATGATCATCCCAGGTTCAGAGATGCATTGGCTCCTCTTTGGTAAAGGTGCCAGAGTACTCGACCTCATGAAGACGCCCCCGGGGCACCTGGCGATCAAGGTCGACGAGTGCGGGGTCGCAACAGAGGATAATGGCTCAACGGCATGTACTGCAACGGCCAATCCTCTCTGTGAAGATACGCCCCCGCTCGTCAAGGAGGTGGCCGACGCAGATCCAACCGCAGGGCAACCTGCTGCGAGCGGCGCGGGGGCACTGGCTATCAGCGACGCCCGCGCGTACATGATGCCCCAGAACACCAGGGGCATTCGCTTCTCCATCAACGAGGAGACGCTTCCCTACACGACCCAGTCTTCGGTAAACGACACCCTCAAGACCTGGCAGCGCAGGAACACGGCGCATGGGAATGTCCCTACACCTGCCGATCAGGACTTCGCCCCACGCAACTTGCAGGCGAAGCTCTATCAGGCCATCCACGAGGAGGGCAGCAAGTTGATGCCGCCCGACAGCGCTGCAGGGGCACCTGCTGGAGTGAATGCAGGGGCACCTGCTGGAGTCGGCGACGCTGCCGAGAAGATCTTCACTTCGAGCAGTGGCGCAGCGGTGCACGGCACAGGCGTTTGAACGCCCCCATCGATAGAAAAAGGAGTGACGGGGGCAGGCGCGCGCCGCGGCCACTCGCGCTTGCCCAGACAGGCCGAACGCTCAGGTTCTGTTGTCAGGCGCGGGGGCGCCTGCGCACTTTTCCCAGGCGCAGGCTGCGCGCGCCCGGGACAGTGGCGGACCCGGCTGCGAGGCCGCCAGAGACAGCGGCGGACCCGGCTGCGTGGCCGCCGCAGTAAATGAACGCGCAACACATCATTATCATCCCCGTTCTCTTGTTATCGAAGACATACGAACAGCTTACGCTGAATGCCGAGCTCGAGGATACATGTGCGATCGCATCACTCCCGCAGAGGTTATGACCTCTACAGGTGCACAGTATTTGGGTGGATTACTTTCAGGGGATTACAATTTACTGCGGGTGGCAACGCCCGCTGACTGGCATGTTCGATTGCCTGGAAAGCGGGCGGGGCCGCACTACCCGCGCATTCAACATCTTACGATTACTGCTCGGGCTCTACGTGTGTCGATAGTACTTGTGGGATCTCCAGGTTACTTCTGGAAGCAAGGCCCCATACGAGATACTATTGAGGATTTAGGCTAGCAGGTCATGCGTATGCGATGCTGCCAGTTCGGTCTCGAAATTGACCGCTCAAGTTGCTTGCCCAGCGGTTCTTGCCTGCACGCTGCGACCGCCTACGCGCGCATCCCGACCAACTTGTGGAGATGCACGTGCCATACTGTAGGGGGACCCGCACAGCATGCTGAGCATGAATGAGGCTGGCATGGCCAAGGCGCACAAAAGACGGAAGGGCGAAACAAAGCACTTGCCATCGTGGTTGCGAGGCTTATTGACCAGGTATTCTCGCCCAAAACAAAGAGAAATCATACAAGTGTTGCGAATTTCCGCGTCCACGCAAAGGGTGGGCAAAGGAGCTCGAACTCACGTTCAGTCTCTTAAGAATGGCCCTGAATGGGGCCATGTCGCGAGACGGGTGACAATGACACTTGACGACGATATTGTTATACAAGACAGTCAGATTCAAGATTAACCGGTCGGGTGCAAGTACAATGCGCCTTTACCGAACGGTGTGACGAATATGCGTGCTCGATTGCATTGGGAGCCTCTGGCGCCAGTCCTCATCGGACACGAGGGCCAGCGACCGCGCCCAAGGCGGGTTGCGATCGTCGATGACGATCGTCTTCCCCCCCCCCGATTGAGCGCGTCCGCGCGCCCCCCATATTCCCGAATTTCCGACTTCACCCGACACAGAACAAGAGACAGCATTACCAACGGATGCCCGGATCCAGCAAACAGAAAAACAGAAATTTGACAATGAAGCCGGCACCGAGCCACGCAAGATACGAAGACGGCAACGACGCTTTCGGCAAAGACCTGAAGGGTCTCGGATGTGGCGCTTACTACACCGACGCCCCCCTTGACTCCGACACCGACAGCGATGACGAGGAGGAAACCTTCATCGCACTACCAGCGGGGTTACCTGCGGATGCACATGCCGATGTGTTTTCCATAATCCCAACCTTGCTACGGACGACGCAACGAGGTAGATATGCTGGAACCGCGAAGAGGAAATGGGGGCACATCGCAGTTAGCTTTTAGCCGGGGGTAATCCTCAGGAGGAAACCTCGACAGACGCTCAGATGTTGACCTTGGAAACAAGGATGTCCAGAACGCACTGATGCATTACTTGGATGTGTGTTTCGCCAGCGCTGTTATATCACAGCCCAAGTGCAGAACGATTGGGCTACCATCTCACTTCAATTCTACAGTCAACTATGACACATGGCATGAACACCATGCATCAGACCTTCCACACATCAAGTTTTGTGGAAGGGCTGCCGTACGCCAAAACGACATTCGACGGCGTTACTTACGAGAACAACTGGTGGGCACTTGGGTGGACGAAGTACTGCCTGGTACCCATATGTTCGCCCCTCCAGGCGTTTGCCACGTGGCGAGTACAGTGGAGTAGTTTCAGTATCTGGCCCGCAATCTTTGCCGCGCGCCGAGGAGAGGGGCGAGGGGGAAGGGAAGAGGAGAAATGAACGAAGAGGGAAGGGGGGAATTTGGGAGGAAGCAGGAGGGAGAAGGGCGGAGGGAATAGGAGGAGGAGGTGAGACGCAGGAGGGGGGAGGGAGGAGGCAGGAAGGAGGACGCAGGAGAAGGGAGAGGAGGCAAGAGGCAGGAGGAGGGGTGAGTAGTGAGGAGGGATGAGAGGATAATACGAGGCCTGGGAGGAAGAGCGGGGGGGTGGAGGATGAGGGGGAGCGAGGAGGGGGCCAGCAGAAGTCGCATCGGCAGAATTCACCTTCGGAAAAAGTTGTCCAGAAGAAATCGCCTGGAATACGGGGCCCAGAAGAAGGCGCCCCAGAAAAATTCACCATCGGAAAAGGTCGGCCTGAAAAGCTCTTCCTGAAAAACTCGCCCAAAGGAAATCGCCCCAGAAGAAATCACCAGATCGGAAGAAATATTTTGGAAGAGCTCTTCCGGAAGAAATTGTTCGAAAGAAGACGCCTCGAACGAAGACACCTTCGGACAAATTCGCCTGGAAGAAGATCTCCTCGGAAGAAGTCGTCCAGAAGAAATCGTCTCGGAAGAAGACGTCCAGAAAAAGTTCGGAACAAGTTGTTCGGATGAGGCGGTCCGGAAGAAGCCGTCCGGAAGAAGTCGTTCGGAAGACGTCGTCCGGAAGAAGTCGTCCGGAAGAAGTCGTCGCGGAAGAAACCGTGCTATGAAGACACCGTTCTAGGAAGAGACCGTCGCGGAGCATATCGAGGGATATGGGGGGACAAACCAAGGAGTAGGAGGAGTAGGAGGTGGAGGATGCACGACGAGGCAGGGGAGAAATTTTCGGACGAAGTCGTCCAGAAGAAGTCGTCCAGAAGAAATCGTCCGAAAGAAGACGTTCCGAAGAAGTCGTCCGGATGAAGTCGTCGCGGAAGAAGTCGTCGTCGGAATAAGTCGTCCGCAAAAATGATTCCGAAAGAAGTGGTCCGGAAAAAGTCGTTCGGAAGCACTCGTTCGGAAGAAGTCGGCGCGGAAGAAGCAGTAGGCTTTCGTCTTTGTGCCTCGAAGGCTTCTTGGGCCGCCTTGGTGCCATCTTGGGCGTATTGGGCCGATCGTGCCGCGATTCGGGGCCCTCTTTGACCGTCTTGGGGCCCGCTGGGGCCCGAACAAGTCACGCGACAGGACGCGACAAGCACCAGGAGGCACTCCCCAAGCCCCAGGAGATTTGTGAATTTAGGGCTCAGGCCCCCGAAATAACCTTCAGGATCGAGGACAGGCTTAAGGGGCTAGGCCAAGGACCCGAGGACACTCCAACTCGTGCCTCGGGACACGGCGGTGGATACTTGTGCATCCGACGGCACGTCGATAGTTTTGGCGACGGTTGCGCAGAGTTTATTGCACACCCAAATTGGTGCTCAGACGACTCTCCTGGCGATTCGAATTTCAAAGCGTCGGCGTCAAGTATTGTCCCTTCAGTTTGTTATTGATTCAAGGAAGCACCTGTGCAGAAATAGCTTGAATCATCGCCGTATCACTTGCAGGAAAGTATGCTCAATGTGCGAATATGATTATCCCATTTCGTTGTCTTTGTTGTTCTGTCTTTACAGGCCCCTTTACGTTGCTGTGCTCACGCGAATGTGTGTTCCTTCGCTAATTTGCATGTGTTGTCAAGGAAGTGTCTGCACGGAATTGTGTGCTTATGTTCTTTGTCCTATGTGTGTTCACGCGTACGTTTTGCATTGTCACGTAGTGTTCATTTCTGCTAATAGTTTCCCGCCGGCGCCCTGCCACCTGGGGAGTTACCCAGCTCCGCGGCTCTTTCATTCGCAGGCGCGGGTTTGATTTAACTCCCGAGTTAAGCCGTCCCCAAGAAGGCCCGTCCACCAGCTTTGCCGCCATTTAACTCGCGAGTAAAGTCGTCCGCTGGCAGGCACTTGCGCCGGGGCCAGGGCGACTTCACTCGCAAGTTAAGTCGCCAATGAACTCGTGGTTCCAGTCTCTTCCAGACCAGGACCGCGACAAACACCGGGACAAGCTGCAGGAGGGAAAGCAGGGTGCCGTCGCCCAGGAGGGCGTCGCAGCCGACCCGCAGCAGCAGGCCGCCGCAGAAGCGGCCGCCTCGAGCAGGGCCCCGGAGCTCCTGCGCGAGGCGTTGGCTACGAGCCGCGAGCGCGAGGCCGCCGCGCTGCTCGTGAACGAGCCCATGCCAGGCGAGGGGGAGCCGGGCGCGCACGTGGCGGCGCTGCGCGCGGCCGAGGCCGAGCTTCTGACGGCCGACGGTGGAATTTGGTTGCGGCTGCTCAGCGAGGTGGGCGGCGCGCATGTCGAGGTCAGCGACGGCAGACCTGGACGGCGGGGGGCCGCCGCGCCTTGCGATGACGGCGCCCTGCTGGAGGCCACTTCCACCGCCGTCGCGGTGGCCGCGGCAGGTGTCGCTGACGAGGTCGGCGGTGCCGAGGGGACCGCGTTGTGCCACACAGGTGGCGCCGCGGCCCGCGAAGCGCTGGCCTTGGAGGACACGGCGCCGACGGCGCCAGCGTCGCTGCTCGCTACCCCGCCCGCGGACCTCGGCTTCGGCTGCAGGACGGGCGTTCTGAGGTCGAGCGCCGCCCATGCCAGCGCCCCACCGCAGAAGGCCGAGAGCTGGCAGAGGCACGACGGGCAGGAGTGGCGCGACAACCCGGACATCGCGGTCGCCGAGCTCGCCGCGGGCCTCCACGTGAAGGTCGGCGGCCTGCCGCAGCGGCCCCTGCGGCGGGCCAATGGGCGTTTCGGCCGCGTCCTGGCGCCGGCGGAGGGCGGCCTCTGGCAGGTGCGGCTCGCCGACGGCACCGAGGAGGCCTTGCCGGTCGAAGCCCTCACTCCGCGCGCCGTGGAGGCCGCGGAGGTCTGGATCCGGCCGGCGGAGCAAGGCGCCGGGGCAGACCTGGATCCCCTCTGGAGCCGTGCGTGGGTCGAGCGGCTGATGCGGGCGCTGTTGTCGGCTCTGGAAGGGAGGCCCCTCCCTTGGGAGAGCGCGCCCGAGCGCGGCCACGGCCTGGGCCCCAACCGCGTCGCCGTCCCCACCGCGGCGCTGCCGCTGTTCGGCCTCCAGCGGCTGAAGCAGCTGATGGAGGAGCACGGTGTCATCGTCGTGTTCGCGCTTGGAGGCCGCGTCGCCGCGGGCACGCCTCCAGGCGCGGCGTCAGTCAAGTTGGAGGTATCCGAAGTGATCTGGTGGTCTGGCGGTCTGGTGGTCCGGTGGTCCGTGTGGTATGGAATGGTGCGCAGCACCGATGGTTTTTTTTCGAAATCGGGCGCGGCTCGAGCAATCTGTGTCGCTCTTAGGCCAAGGGCCCTAAGATTGCTTGGGCCGAGACGGGCAGCGGGAGACAGGGTGAGAGCAGCCATAGAGAGAGCAGGGAACGAGGCGGACGCTCGGCGGAAGGGCGATCGACGTGCTATCGAATCGACCGAAACCACACTCTTCCTGTTTGGCGCCTCGGGCAGCCGGGGCGACGAACACTTCAGTTCGGTCGCAACTTCCTTACCTCGGATCGAATTATCTTGATATTTCGGCATCGGCAAGAGTGTCGGACACGGCATTTCTCACGCAAGAGGGGCAGGCAAAAGGCCTGACACGGCTTGCACGAGGGAGCCTCGGGCTATTATTCGGTGAGTTGCACAAGCCTGACTAACATATTCTCATCTCGGCGCGGTGAGCGCTTGGCAAGTTTTTATCACTATGTGATGAGAGAATCAATAAATGCATCGGTGTGGTCGCCACCACATAAAAGAAGCTGTGGCTGTGCACGCTACATACAAAGCTTCTGCCTGCTTGCAGATTGATGTGTAACTTTGGAAATCAAAACAAATATAATGCGGACTTACGTGGAAGAGGGGTCGCTCTGCGACCATCAAGAAACACTGCAAAACAGTGCAATGCGGACTTACGTAGTCTGGGTCGCTCTGCGACCTGCAAAAGGAACATGAGAGACGCGGCAGTGGGGGAAATCATCCACTCAGCCTTTGCGGCCTTGTTGCCCTTCGTAGTCTGATAGCTCCCTGTGAGCTGCCACCAGCGACGGTTCAATTCCCACCTCAGCGTGTAGTGCATCTGCGAGAAGTCAGGCTCATGCTCCCTATTGTTGCACAAGAACCAGGATGCGTGCTGCCTGCGGGTCCTGCAAGTGACGTAGACGCTGTGGTGGTAGTGTCCGACTCGAAGATTGTGCGTTTCGACCGCGCAGGGGTTCATCTCCAGCGGTGCGACCGCAGGCGTAGGTCCGTTCAAGGGAACCACGCTCGTACTCGATAAACTGGTCACTGAGACCACGATCGGTGATGCCGGTGCTGACGATCCGATCCCCGATGCCGGTGTCGGTGGTGAACTCGGAGGCGGCGGCTCCGCAGGCACAGGTGGCGGGAGCGGCGACTGCAGCGCGCTGGCGCTAGCTGCCGACGAGCTCGATGCCTGGCCACTGCCATGACCGTCCACGGGTGGCATGTAGATGTCACCATTTTGATTTTGCTCTTCTGGGATGGTCAGCTGTCCAGTTGGGTTGTTGCGCCTGCCCAGACGTCGAATGTACATTGTTGTTGCTGGGAACACTGACTTCGTCAATCGACACACACACACATTCTGTAGCATACGTTACAGGTCATGTAGCACGCGTAGCAGTAGAACATGAAATCGTTGGACGGAGTAGGCGATGGAGTAGGCTACCCCTGGACCGTGCCGAGGCAGGTGAACAGGACCGAGGCAAACATGGCGGCACGCGGCTGTCGAGTGCCGTAGCTGTGCTTGCGGGCTCCGAAGAAGGAGAGCAACGCACCAGCCTCCATCGCCTTCGTCAAGGCATCTGCGACCGTGGCCCAGTCAGGAATTCAGTTGAGCCGTAGGGCGTTGTTCGAATGTACGGCCTCCTTGATCATGGAGGCGGTGATGCGGAGCCGCTTATCCGTAGACTGGCCCACATCAGACTGGATGTGCGTCACGAGGCCCTTGCTGTCGCTGAAAATCTCCCCAGGTCGCCTGACCGCGAGCTCGTCGATCATCTTGAGCGGTTTCTCAGGGTTGGAGGCCTCGGTGAGCAACTGGCGGAACCATGTGTTAGTCTCCTCTCCCTCGAGGGTCGCGAAGCCTTCGGCAGCCAGGGCCGATTTCACTTACCTCTTAACTGTGCCCGAATGCCAGGCCACGGGTAACCACAGGTCAAAACGGCCTCCGATGACGTCCCGGGGACGATGCGTGAGCCCCATCACCATGCCCCACTGGCTCTTGACCCTGCCACGTTCGCGAACGCGGCGTCGCTGAAGCTCGCGGTGGTGCACGTCATCAGATCGAGGTCCCGCTTGAGCAGGATCGCGAAGTTCGCGGTGGAGTGCACGTATGCGACGGTATTGTTCAGCGTCTTGGCGTCGGCCACGGTGGTGGCATTCGTGCGGCGAACGGCGAAGCTCACCGGGCAGGCGATGCCGACCGGGGTTTGGATTGCTAGCCAAAACAGTTTCCCGAGCGTGTTTCGGTATCCTGTCACTTCTGAGGTAGTGAGTCGATCCTCTGCACCTCGGCCTTGTTCGGCCTTGAAGTCTATGAAGTCCACCTGCGCGGCGGCGGTGGCTTGGGTCACCCTGAACTCGTCGTCGAGCTTTGTGATGGCACGTTCGCAGTACCTTGATGGCCCCCTCGGTCTCCTTGAGGTGCGGCTTCTTCTCCAGCGAGGCGATCATGGATCTCCAACGGCTGGAATTGGTGCGCTGGGCGATCAGGAAGTCGTTCACGTGCGAGTGGATCATGGCGGAGAGCCCCTTTCTCGTCGCAGAAGTAGTAGAGGCCCTTCTCGAGCTTGATCTCGATGAGGCCGTGCTTGGCGAAGACCTTCTGCGCGTAGAGGTGCCGCTGCCGGCCCGCGTCGCGCATTCCGTACATCGCGCCGGTGGCCATCGCAATCTCGCCGGGTTGCGCCCCTGGCGGTGGGTTCTTGGCCGGCATGCGCAGATGCAGCAGCCTCTCGATGTTCCATGACTGCAGGTATGCCGCCATCGCGTCGTAGGGCTCGAGGCCCCAACCGTTTTGAACCGCAGCGGCGAGGGTCAGGCACAAGGCGTCTGTCGGTGCGCCTGTCCTGATATGCAACTTATCCTCCTGGCAGCCCGGGCGACCAGCCGGGCCATCATGACGTTCTGGCCTTTCTTGGTCAACGCCCAGCGTGTCCCCGCATGGCGAATGCCAGGGCTGCGATGCAGGAGCTCCATCAGCTCCTTGACAGGGAGCTTCTTGTCGGCGCCGAACTCCGTCCATTCAGACCACTCGGTCTTCATGGCGGTGCCCATGTTGTTCTTCTCCTTGGCGCCGAGGTCGTCGTGCCTCAGCTCCTTCGCAGTCGCGATGCCATGGGCAAGACCTCGCGGAGTCGGATGGACGAGGAGTTCGTCCTGGTGAGTCTGAAGTGATTATCCAGGAAGAGGTCGACTTTGGAGGTGTCTTCCGGCTTTTTGAAACAATTGGGCAAGTCGTCCAAGAGTTCCATCGTTTGTTGGCTCGCTCGCGCGGGTCGAGGACTCCTGGCGATCTCGTTCGAGCGCGCGCGGTGCATTCTCCTGGCGCAGCTGGCGCTGGGTCTTGGCCCCGCGCTGGTTCTCGGTGTCCAGTGGTCGCCGAGCAAACGCTTCTTGACGAGCTCGCTCCTCCGCAATCTTGGTCCGCGCCTGGATCGTGGCCGATCCTGAGCTGTCGGGCATGTTGTCGTTCTGGTTGTCGTCGATGGGGCCCTGAGGTATTTGTTCTGGCACCGCGGGCTCCGCGGCGGCAGGATCGGCGGCTGCAGCAGCTGCGGGCGGCGGCTCCGCAGCCGCGTCTGCAGGTGGCGGCTCTGCAGCCGCGTCTCCCCCGAGGGCGCTGGTAGCGGTCCGCCACAGCCGCCGGTGCCTCCACTGGTAGTGAACTCAGCGTGCTTCGCGATTCGCGGCTGTGTCCTAGATGTTGCCAGAATGTTGCGTGGGCAGGGCTTGTTGTTGAGTCGGTCCTGACAGGGCTCGTTGTCGGCGTGGCGCTGGTCGCTGAAGCGGCTGGGGCACGCCGCCGGTACGTGGTCGCTTTTGCGGAGAGACACCCGCGGGGTCGAGGGCGGCACCTTCGCTCGTGTCAGGAGGCGCTGATCCACCTCCCCCGCCCCCCCCCCCCAGGACCCGGAGGTGGTGGTGGTTGCCTTCCTGGCGGCCCGCGAGGAGGCGGGCCCCGCGGCGGCCCTGGCGGCTGGTTGCCATTCGGGGCGTTCAGCACTTGTCCCCGCGGCGCGAACTCTGACGCCGCGGCGCGGCGTAGGTGTCCGCGGTTGACCTTCGCGGTCGCGGGGCGGCGGCTGACCCAGACACTGGCGTCGCGCTCGAAACCGATGATGACGCCGGGCCCGTGCCACTGCGATGCCCGCTCGCGCTCGGGCTTGCCGTTGCCTCTCCAGCAGTGCGCCTGGTCGCCCGCCCGGTAGACGCCAGCGTCGCGCTGGGCCCCGTCCGCCGCGGGCCCGGGCCAGCAGCGCCCTCGAAAGGGACTGGTTGGAACGAAGCTACTGGATGGAGGTCTGGGCGGCCTTCGCGATGGCAATTCCTTCGGATAGCGGCGCGTCGGACACAGCGCGCTCGCGCCTGGAAAGGCTGCCGGCATTGCCCAGCAATGCGCATGGCAGTTGAAGTCCTCGCCCGAGTACCAATCATGGTCCAGCGCACCGATGCGAGTAGCCGCTGAACACGATGAGCTGTTTCGTTCGGGCTGGTCGGACCTGGTGCTAAACTGGTAAATCAGCTTCCCGCCGCGAGCCTTCCACGAGCATTCGCGTCGCTCCGCGGTGGCGCCCTGCTGCGGCGCGGCCGCGGCGGTCGCCATCAGGCGGCGGCCCATGTCTTCGAGCCCCTTGGAGAACTCTCGCTCGAACTCGCCCCCCCCCCCCCCCCCCCCCCCCCCCCCCCTCGAAGATGGCGCGTTGGGGCGCGCCGAAGGGTGTAATCCAGATTTGCAGCTGTGGAAATCTGAACCGTTTGAGCTTATCGCATCCTTGTGGATGATCCATTTCACATGCGTTTGCGCGCGTGCCCGCGCGCCCGCTGCTTTTCTGCGTCGGGCACCTTCTGGTGCCATGTCTCGCGAAAAAAGATGTCTCCCTCTTAAGCCGCTGACCGTCTCTGACGCGCCAGTGGC